GCTGTACCTTATGTCCCCGGGCGACTGCATAGAAGGGCCCTACGGGTTCCGCGGGGGACATGGGAGGCACCAGAACAATGTGACGCGGCGGGGCGACGAGGGCGCTACCGCCGTTACTGCCACTGCTGCTGCTGCTACTGCTGCCGGCGGCGGCGGTGGCAATAACCCCTGACGACGACGAGGCACCAAAGCCGTGGTTGTCTTTGGCCGCACGGGCCCGTACGAACACTCGTGCCGCGGCTTCCGTACTGAACTTCCTGTCGTACGAAGTCCCCCGGTTGGGGAAGGCGGCGAGACAGCGGACGAGTTTGTGATGGGGAGCGGAGCGGAGCTCTTTAGACGCGGTGTCCATATCGGGACGTGCGGGGCCCCCCCTGGGGGCGGGTCTCCATCGCCCTGTGGTGGTGGAGCACACACACCCCTAACCTCCGCCGCGGCCACCAGGCCCGCAGCCCCTACCCCTCGTTTCATCTCCACCCACGTACTGCCTTCCCCCCCCGTGCTCTCCTGATGCAGTTTGTGTGCACGGAATGATTCCACTCGCCCACACCAACACCATCACCACCACTATCAGCACCGCCACTATCAGCACCGCCACCATCACCAGCAAGCACAGCAAGCAACCAGATGCAAGTCCGCTTACACAACACAGCACAACAGAATCGGTGCACGATGACGGAGCTCAGAAGAGGGAGAACAGCGGTGCACAAGCTGCACAAGCTGCAGAACACGGGAGGCAAGAGAAACCCAGTGCCATGTTCCCCCCACCCCCCCCAACCCGCAACCTGGCGTATCAGTCTATCCTTGGGATCCTTGACTTCACTCGTTCGTGCTTCGTCTCAAAGCCCCCCCTTACACACACACACACACACACCCGCACACACAGCACACACACACAGCAGCCTCCTCCCCTCCCCTCCCTCTCCCCCCCTTCCCTCCCCCTACTGCGCACTTGTACACAGCGCCGCTGTAGCCCTTCACGGCGCGATCCACCTCCTCCCAAGAGTAGAATACACCCGTCTGGCGCACCGGTTGGAGGTTGCGGGGGTTGCGGGGGAGGAGACGCGGGTGAGAGGGGGGGAGGGAGGTGATGTCGAGAACAGGACGGGGGAGGGTAGGAAAGCGGCGCAGCAGCGGCAGTAGCAGCGCCCGGCAGGGCTCTGTGTGTGTGTGTGTGTGTGTGGGTGGGTCTGCCCTGCCCCCCATGGGACTACCGGTTGTGTTTTTTAGGTACACACAGCCGGTATGGGGGGCGGGGCAGCGACTCAAAACATGTGCCCTCCTGCCTAACCCTCCTGCCCACCCCGCGCAGTCGACGAACCACATCCCACCGCCAGGTCCAGCTCCGCATAACCCCCTTTCTTTCAGCGTAGTCATAGTCACCGCTTTGTTTGTTACCTTCCGGCCAACTGCCACCGCATACACCGGGGAACGCCGCCGAACACCGGAGCGACCACTACGGCTGCTACTGCCGCCGTCAGCAGCGGAAAAGCCCTGCTCCTCATCCTCGCCCTCCTCCGCCGCCTCCTGGGCGTTGATGTCGTCGCCGTCACATTCCTCGTGGTCCTTTTCCTTCTTGTACTCATCGTAGTAGTATAACCCAGAGTCGATTCCCACGGGGCGTATTGCTGCTGCTGCCGTCGTCAACATCTGCCTGCCAGGGTGGAAGTGTAGCAGTTTGGTGTTGCTGGTGCTACAGTTTCCGCTGCTGATCCTGGTGCTGATGCTGGTGATGCAGCCGGTGCGGCTGCAGAAGCGAGTAGCGCCTCCTGGCAAGAGTGGTGAAGCCGTTGATTGGTGCGGGGATAGGTGGTGGATGGGGCTGGGGGTTGCGGGAAGGGCGCGAGGCTTTAAGTCTGGGAGCAGGTGGACAAATGAACTGCCGAAAACGGAGGTCAACGCCGATGCTCCGAAGCTGCTGCTGGTGCTATTCATTTCGCGGCGCTCGGCACAGACTAGTACCATGTTTCGCCAGAGTGAGGTCAAGAAAAGCTTTTGCTGCAGCATTGCGGGTTTTGCGAGGTGATGCCGTGGTGCTCCGAAGCTGTGATTTGAAAGCAGAGGCTGGGCCCACATCATGTCGCAGCTAAGTATGGGAGCAGCTGTCAAAATTGATCCGCCTTGCTGGCAGGCAAGCAGACGGCTGTCTCACTTTCGGGCAGCAACTTCGCGAGCGCAGTTTGGTTCAGGCATTTATCACGTGCAGTGTTGCACACGCGGCATCTAACTTCAGCTAATAAACCTGGCATGACGCAAGGTGGTCGCGGCTATCAAAAGTGCATATGTGAAATTGTCCGATCCATCCTGAATTCGTGGAAAATAATACATGGGCGCGACCTCAACGCTCCGACAAATTTCATTATCGGTTGTTTTTTGCTGTACGTTTTTGATTTGCTCGTTCGTCCGTATTTGTTGTTGGTTTCGTACTGGCAATTCATAGGCACCTAAACATAGACAAAACTCGTTTCGAAAATCGATTTTCGCCCAGCTGGTAGGTAGGCATACTGACAGATCCACAACCATTGCATCCGTTGCTCATAATCAAATGGTCTCTTGCTGCGTGGTTAAGATATGCATAAGCTGCATCTAACTTTGCATAATAAACTATGGCTGATGACGTTAAGGTCATTAAAGCTGATGCCTTGCTCAAAGGAGTAAAGCTGACATTTCATGGCCAGGGCCCCAGCGATGCACCTGGCGCAAAAGGTAAAGTACTATTAATCGCTTATGGCTAAAGCAACCCGGTTAAGCGCGGGCATGAAGTGGTGGCCCTCGGACCTGAACAGCACCGTAATGTCCATCTCAACTCCCCACCACCACCTCGCCTTCACCCTCAATCAACCAGACAGTTTCCCGCACCTCGACACCCATATGCCTCCATTCTTGCCTCCTTGCAAGAAATCCACACGCACTTTCGCTATCCTAATCCCCCTACAGCCAAGCACTAAACCCCCCGCCCAGTGCTCCCTGAACTTCCCCCATTCCCCACTCTTCCCCCTGCACCACGCCCCCTAACTCTCCCACGTGTCTACCGTACACGCGACAAACCCGGCCTCCACCCGCCCTTTCCCCTCCACAGGCGCCGCCACCGCATGGGCTCCGGAACCACCCCATGGGTCCGGCGCCTCGGCGACCAAGCTCGTCTCCTCACCCGCTAAGGGCCCAGCAGCGTCACCTGGCGGCGCGGCGGCAGCGGCGGCTGATGCGGCCCCGCCCTCGGCCCCCAGCAGCCTGCTTGAGAGCATAGCAGCTTCGTTGTGGGATCAGTACCAGTCAAGCGAGTGGCTGGTACCCCCCGGTCAGCCGAACGACTGGCGCTTCACTCTGGCCGTATGCCGATCGGTGGGAGAGGACAACAAGCTTGCCTTCCTGCTCGCTTACCTAGTAATACCCAAATACCTTTGATGACATACTGTTTTAATGCATCCTACCCCCTCCCCCTCTGCATCTCCCGCGGCCTCTTCCCCCCGGGCCCCTCCTCCCCCACACACAAACACAACAGTGTCTTGTTGCCTGGTTCAACCCCGCCTCCACCCTACCGGCCCGGTTAGCTCTAACGGAGGCCGTGGGCCGGGCGTTTGGATTGGATGAGGGGGCGGTGGAGCAGGCAGTGGCGGAGGCGATCATCATCAACAGCCAGGTGCAACTACGGGGGGGGAAGAGGAGCTACGTGTGCTTGTGCGTTTGTGGGGTGTGTGGATACGTGTGTGGGGTGAGAGGCCGGTGAGGCGGTGCGCTGTGTGGGGGCTTGTGTGTGTGGGGTTACGGGTGTATGTACGGATGTACGGTAACGTGTCTTAAGGAACTGAGCCACGAGGTGCGTGTCGTGGGGGAGGGAGGATAAGGCAAGGCATGTAGTTGGGTGGTCGGGATCTAAGGCCCAATTACTTGACATCTTTAAACCAAAAGTAAAAATCGAAAACAAATGTCACATGTGTACGTATGTGTGTATGTATGTACGCATGTACGTACCTGCACAGGTGCCTAGGCAACTTGCGGCCCAGCACGCTGCTCTGTTGCATCAAACGTTCTCAGTACGGCAGGGGTCTTTCCCCTCGGAATCCGAGGGCAGGGCGGCGTACCAAGCGTATCGAAGGGAGGTGCGTAAGCGCGCGTGTTTGTAAGTATGTATGGCGGGGGGGAGGTGAGGGGTAAGTACGGGAGCGTGTGTGTGTGTGTGTGTGGATGTGGATCGATCTAATTGGAAGGGGGATAGGCAACAAGGGGGGTTGGTGGGGCATCGGAGTTCGTGGCGGAGTTTTGGGGGTTGGTGTAGAAGCCAGGGAGCTGATGATGGGGGTTTGGGTGGGGGGTTTTCGGGCTCCCGTCCCTCTCCCCTCCAATTCATCATCATCATCATCATCATATCAGTGATTGAAGCCGATGAGAAGCTGCTTGCAGTGCAGTTGGGGAGGTGGTGCTGGCGGTGGTGGATGTGGTCCTAGAGACCTCCAACCAGGGTTCGATTTCCCCCTTTTCCTCCCCTTCCCCTTTTCCCCCCTTCCGCCCTCCCGCCTCCCCCCCTTGGCTTATATTGGCCCCGCCAATGTATTGGTTCCGGAGCTGCTGACAGTTGCTTCATTGATTTGGCCGTCGTAAAACACATTTGTGTCCCCCCGCCCCGACGCTTCACTCGTTCGTGGTTCGTCTTTCCCCCCGCCCGTCAATCGTCTGTGCTCCGTCGTCTCCCCCTCCCCCGCCTAGGTCGTCAACAGGCGTTTTATTTGATATAGATATGTATGATTCCTTCCATTTTACATTCCTCTCCCCCCTTCCGTTTTTCCCCCCTTGTTTCTCCCCCATCCCTTTCTTCCTTTTCCCCCATCTTCCTTAGGCCATGGTTGAAGCCGAGGAGTTGCTTCAGCAGCAGTTGGGATTACCGGAATTCAACGGATTGTTGGTTGTGGAGGTGGTTGGGGCAACTGGACTAAACACGTGAGAGTGGGGGAGTCGGAAGCCGCCGGGGGGTATTAGAGTGCCCTCCTCCTCTCCCCTTCCCTCTCCACCCCACCCCCTCGGGGGAAACACCGCACCCGGGGGGGGGTAGGGGGGTCCTCAGCGGGTTAGTGTGCTGCTAGGGGCGTGTCTGGTGTGGGCGTGTCTGGTTGGGGCGGTTAAGGGGGGGTTCGGGACTTTACCGGGTAGTATTACGGGTTTTCCCGGGGGGAAGCCCTGCGGCTACTGCTACTGCTCAGTGCTGCTACTGCTCAGTGCTGCTACTGCTGCTGCTTTTTCGTCATTCCTCCTCGTCCACCTCCACACCATTATCGTTATCTTCGTCATCGTGGTGCTCGTCCACCTCCATGTCTTGGTCTGTCGTCTTCAACGGTCCAGGACGAGTTGCTCCCCCCCCCCCCGTGAAGTGTATTGGCCACATGTATTGGCCACATGTATTGGCCACATGTATTGGCCACATGTATTGGCCACATGTATTGGCCACATGTATTGGCCGCCAACCCACCCTACCCCAACCCCGTACACATACACATACACATACACACCCCACAGTCGTCGCGCCAAGGCTGGAGCCAGGCAGCTGTTGCCGTACGCTGCTGTGTGGCTGAGTGACAAGTCGGGCTCACGGAGGGGTGACAAGCTGTTCACAAAGGTGAGCGTGTGCGTGTGTGTATGTGTATTGGGGGGTAAGGGGAGGGTTTGGGAGAGCCGGGCCGGGGAGGGGGCCCCGGGGGGGGGAGGGAGAGGACTAGCACAGGTTTTAGGTGGGGCCCCAGAGTGGCAAACTGTTGAATCGCTTTATGCCGTCAACGTCCCTAGTTGATATCGTGATGCTGTGTGTGTCTGTGTGTCTGTGTACATTTCTTTTGAAAAGAAGGTTGACGTATAACGGACTCGGTTGATCGCGTTGCCCATGCACATGGAACGACACTAAACTCCAAAACCTGCGAAACGTGAAAACCCCGAAATTTCCCACCCACCCGCTTTCACCCCTCGACATACATACATACATACATACATACATACATACATACATACATACATACATACATACATACATACATACATACATACATACATACATACATACATACATACATACGCAAAGGTCGCCACCGAGCCGGAGCGCCCCGTGTGGATTCAGCAACTGCCGCCGCTAACGGTCACGAACTCGGAGATGGAGCTTGTCGTACAGGTGCGAGTGTGTACATGTACGACATGTACGATGTGCGCTACCATTCCAGGAATCAGGAAGGGGTGGGTTACTGGGACACGTCCTCGGGTACGTTTCGGGTTGTGGTGTGTTGTGTGGGGGTGCAAAATCGTCTGCAGAGGAGCTGGGTGTCTGCATGTCTGTCTGTCTGTCTGTCCTTGTGTGTGATGATGCGAATCCAGACGCGCCAAAGGAATCACCCTCGAGAACATCTTTGGAAATCTGTTTGGGGGTTACTGTGGACTGTGTATGAGGCGGAAACATCTGCCGGGCATCTGTGTGCGGGTGTGTGTGTGTGGGGGGGTATGTATGTAAGCTGCAGATGATGAGATTTGACTGAAGGCAAAGGGAAGAGGAAGAGGAGCAACTTGGCTGAAGCAACGCAGGAATGCGCCTTGCTTGGCCCTCCTGTTCCTGACATGACTGAACGAAGGGATGGAGGACTGCGGGTATCGTGTTGGGCTGCGGCCGAAGAGGATTCTCGTATGTCCCCGGGTGTGTGTATGTATGTATGTATGTATGTATGTATGTATGTATGTATGTATGTATGTATGTATGTATGTATGTATGTATGTATGTATGTATGTATGTATGTATGTATGTATGTGTTTTCAGGTTCGTTGTACTTCAGATCGCCGGCCCTCCCGTACGGACCCCTTACTGGGCCGAGTGGCGGTACGACTGGCGGGCCTTATGCCAGGGCTGACTCAGCAATTGGACTTGCGACTTTATGAGCAAGGAAAGACGCAGGGAGCCGGCGGCGGCGTCAGCGGCGGCGGCAGTGGCGTCCGCTCTGACAGTGGCGGAGGTGCTGGAAACGGCCGCTCAAGCAGAGGGAAAAAGGGCTTTATATGCGGCTGCTTCGGCGGCGGCGGTAGCGACGAGGAGGGGGACGTAGGCGAGGGCAGAGGACGGGGAGGGCGAGGCGGCGGCGGCAGCGGCGGCAAGCATTCCGACGCAGCCGTTAGAGCTGCGGCGGCGGCGCCGCCGGCGCCGCCGGCGGTTGCTGGTCGTATTGGCAGTGTCGATCAGTTGGATGATGGGGACGGGGCAGGAGGCGGGCGGTGAGCACCATGGGGTGGTAGCGGGTAATGGGGGGTGGGCGCTACTGATACGTTTGTTTTGGTGGTGGTGGTGGTGGTGGAGCTCATGTGGGGTGAAGGGCTGTGGGTGGTTCTGAAGGAGCTCT